CTCCAAGAAGGAATGGAGCCAGGCAAGTGCCGAGCCACCAATTCCCGACTCGGAGATCCTCCCCAGGAGGATACCATGGTCAACGGTATCAAAGGCTGCGGAGATGTCAAGGAGATCCAACAGAGACGTTTTGCCCCTGTCAGCCTCCCTCAACAGGTCATCATACAGGGCGACCAATGCCATCTCTGTGCCGTGCCGCGGCCTGAAGCCCGACTGAAACGGATTCAGGGCATCTGTTTCATCCAAGTGCGCCGGAAGCTGGTCTGCCACCACCCTCTCCACCACTTTGCCTTTAAAAGAAACATTGGCAATGGGCCTATAATTGCCAATTTCGTCCGTCGCCAAACTAGGTTTCTTTCTGATGGGAACCTGCCCTCGAGGAAAGACCCATTTATTATTGCAGTGGCCCATTCTGTTGTTATCAGCCTGGCTGCTTTGATTAGCCAGGCCGGACAAGGGCCAAGGGAGGAGGTGATGGCTCAACAACGGTCAAGCACCTTGGCCACAGAGTCAGGCGTTACAGGCTGAAAGGAGTCGAAAATTACTGGGCAAGACGGAGCGCTGGACATCTCTGCTCGACTCACTGTATTCAAAAAAGGAGAAAGCTCCCGGCGGATGGCCTCCACTTTAGATTTTAAAAATGCTACAAATCATGAATAGCAAAACATTTCAACCTAATAAGAAAGAAGTCCAGTTGCCTTAACTCAACTTTCAGATAACCTTATCTGGATGACTGAGAATCTTCACAGACATTTGTATTGTCGTTCATGATATATGCCACTGAAACAAGACACTTGTAGCCTTTATCTTCTTTCAGTCTGTCAGCAGACAGCATTCTTGATTTTTAACTAAATTTAGGTTTATCAAATTGAGTAAAACAAAACTAGAAAGTTAATCCATGTGTCATTAAACTGTGCTTTTAACATAGATATCCTCATTTCTCATTAGTTACATGGACTAAACTTCATTCTTATTATTGGGTGATCATGGGTCTATTAATAATAATCATGTGTCATCAACTCAATTCTGACCTACGGTGATCTTTTTCAAGGTTTTCCAGGTACAGAATATTCAGAAGTAATTTACTGTTCTCTTCTTCTGGGAGCATCCTGGGACTGTGCAGCTTGCCCAGAGCTCTTCTCTCAGTGGGGAAGCAAACTCCCAACATCTGGCTCTGCAGCCAGATATCTAAACCACTGAGCTGTCCAGCCAGCATATATCTATTACTATTATTTTAAAATAGTGTTTAAAAATCAACATTTTATAATTAAAAAGTTATGTATCATGCAGGATGGGTATTTTTTTTTACCAGGGACAAATATCTCTCTGTTTATCTCTCAAATTGCATAGGCCTGTTAACATTTTGTTCATCTTCAGGCTTGTGTTCTCATATTAAGTGAGGTAATACAATGGTCTATAAAGATTACAGCAATACTCCTTTTGATACATAATCTCCAAACATGAAATGTTTTTCCTAAGGGGATTTACTGCAGTAGAATTAAGTATATGGAGGATCTCCAACTTCTGTCATTCTCCAGCCATCAGTCGTAACTGTATATTTGGAAGGTATCATGTTCCATTCTTTTTTCACGATACAGAATGTAAATCGTATCAAGCAAATATCTTCAGTAACAAATCAAGAACTGAAGATCATGCAGGAAGATCTTACTTTCAAATCAAGTGAAATGCAGAAATCCCAGAGCACTGCTAAAAACCTGGGTTCAGGTAAGTGTGTTGTGTAAAATGTATTTGTTTATTCATTTCTAAATTCTGTCCCTTGGTCTATTACAAAAAATACTCCTAATGTGATGTAGAAAAATGGCACACAATACAATAAAATGTAACAAACATGATAAAAGGAAATAAAAAGAATAACACCAAAGGGAAAAACAGCTGTTAGAAGATCTTGCATATTATTTGAACTCCGAAGAATAGGACAAGCTTTGCCCAATACCTGCAGGATTCCAAATACCAACATAAGTGGGGGAAAACTTTCAGGATTTGGATGACACTCCAGAAAAGGCCCTTTCTTCAGTAACTACCTTTCTGACTTCAGAAAACAAAGATATTTCAAAGAGTGGCCTTTCGCGGTACTGAATTTCACAACAAATCTAGTACCATATTTTGCTCTGATTCAGAATTTTACACCCCTTGCTCATCTTTTGTATACTCAGGTCCCTGTCTTCCATTATGGAGTCAGTCCATCTTGAATTTTCTTCTCCTTTCCTGCTGCTTTCAAATTTTCACAGTATTACTGTCTTTTCCAATGAGTCTTGACTTCTCATTAAGTGCCCGAAATATGACAGCCTCAGTTTCATCATTTTTGCTTCCGGAGAAAGTTCAGGCTTGATTTGATCTCGGATCCATTTGTTCATCTTTCTTGTCTTTGTATTCTATGACAAACTCCAGAAACATTTCATCAAGTTGCCTCCAACTTATGGTGACCCTAAGAATGAGGCAACTTGACAGCATGTAACAACCATGACACCTTTGTTTCAGCAAGGAGTTACATTAAGTCTTTCATTAATGGATACTGAGGTGTGTTATAAGATAAATAAGCTTTGTCAAATGAGTGTAATTTTAAGGCATAAGCTTCATCACTTTTCAGTGTATTAGTATGGTAGCTAGCTATTTCCCACAGATCTTCCGGTCCAGCAATGCCCCAGTGTATTCTGTAACAGAATGTTTCTAGATTTTCCAGATTCTGATATGCCCCTCCATGAATAGATGAACTCCTCCCTTTTGCAGAGGAAACAGAAATCCAGAGCCAAGCTTTAAAAAGTAATAGTTGGCTATTATAGGCTGTGACAGGGCTTTTCCAGTTTTAAAAAAAAATCAAAAGAAAATGTTTTGAGGTGGGGATCAAGAAGCTGGTGTAACCCTCCTAGACCCAAGGATGGATATATATCTTAGACCTCTGGAGGTCACCCAGCCCTGTGCTAGATGAATGAGAAAGGTAATAATTTTTAGTTGTATCCCTTTTCCTAGCAATCAGTCATGCCACAGTGCTCTGAAATTTTCCCACCACCCAAACGCAGCATGGCAGGGGAAGACTGTATGGGTGGTTTCCACCACACTTTCTTCTGTTGGAAGCAGAATACTGTTGAGCAGTGGTCTGGATGAAGGATGTTACTGATTTTTAAATCATGCAGTAAGAAAGATAAAGTTGGATTTTTTTTAAAAAAAAGTATTATTTCCCATTGGGATGCTGTGTAGACCCAATTGCTGTGGAATTCTATTCTGCAGCCACAAAGGCATTTTTAAAAACTTCTGAAACCAGCCACAGAATGAAGTATAAATGTAGTAGTATCTAACAACAGAGAAGTACAAGAAAATAAAGGTAATGGGTATAATCCATCCCTCCTGTTTATGCACGTGCAAAGATGTTTTAGCACAAATAAGTTCCAGAAGCCTTGAACCAGAAATGAAAAACTTTCAAATATGGAAGCTGAGGAAGAGAGGAGGCCATTGGGTTTTCATTTTTTAAATCATATTTAAGAAGCGTATTTCTATTATAATGGGAGCTTAAGATTTCTTTTATTTCTTAAGAAAAGATATTTAGGGGCTCTAACTGGGATTCTAATTTGATCTAGTGAGGTATGCATTAGAGCTTCATGAACCAAAGGATGCCCATCTCCATACCAACACTTCTTGAGAGCCTTCCCAAGCCATGTTGGCTGGGGACTTTGGACACTTGCAGTCCATGAAGTGAAACAAAACCTTGCATGACTACAAAAAATCGGTAAGATGTTGACAGCAAACAACTTGAGTACAGGATTTATCCGTTGGCCGCCTCTATTATAAAAAAATCTTTTTAGTTGCCCTATCAATCTGGAGCTCAATAGTATAGTGGCATTTAGATGTTGTTTCCAAAAGAGTTTCTCACAAAATTGGATACCCAAATATTTAAAGGACTGTACCTGTTCAATGACATGCCCATACAGTGACCAATTATGTTTAGGGGCTCTCTTCCCATAGACCATGATCTTTGTCTTAGTGTAGTTGATTGTTAGCTGTTCCTCTTTACAGAGCTGCCCAAATTTAGATAGCATTCTTTTAAGTCCGATTTTGTTCAGGGATAGCAAAACCAGGTGATCGGCATAAAGCAGCATTGAGATCTTTCTACAGCCTATGGCTGGGGAGAGAAAAGAGGGGGGAACCATTTGCGGGATCAAGCTGTATATACAGAAATTGAAAAGAAACAGTGCTAAAATGCACTCTTGTTTCACCCCATGGCTAATACAGATCTCTTGTGATAGAGTTCCTTGTAGACCAATATGCATCTTACCACAAATGCTTGATGAGGCAGAATTATGGGAGAAGCAGCAAAGCCAGAATTGGAAATTTTGCAGAATAAATTAGTAAGGCTGATAATGGGGCTCCCTCCAGGAATTCCTTCAGCTCATCTCAGAGCTGAGTTAGGCCTTCCCTCAATTGCTGCTAAAGCTGACCTGGCCTATTTTAGATACTGGCACAGATTGATCAACCTAGGGTAGGTCTCCTTGATAAAGTGCTGCTGGATAGAACAACTACAGTCTGGTGGATGGGCACAACAGTGCTACTAAAAACTAAAAGCCTATAACCTCCCACTGGAAAAATTCCTCAGTCTAGGCCTCCGGGACCTTAGAAACTGGGTTCTTGACTTTGATGTCAGTCAGGACAGGTCTGTTATTGTCGGGTACTGTTTTTCCACCTGGTACCTCCAACTTCAGTTGAATCACGCAAAACCAAGTTACTTTGAGCCACTGACTTTTTCTCAGATCCTCAGAACGTTCACAGAACTTGGGCAGATGGCCACAGCATATCTTGAAGGGAGGTATAAAGGAATCCCAGCGGAGGAGTGGAAATGTGTTTATGGCTGCAATCAGATTGAGGACCTAACTCACTACTCATTACTCTGTCGTCTCTATGAAAATCCCATAGAAAGATTTTTGTCTCCCATTATTCAGCTGTATCCCAACTGTCCTTCAATGGCAATAATAGTAAAACTACTCGATGATACACAGCTGTATATTACGTACTCTGTTGCCCAATTTGCTCTGGCAGCTAAGAAGTTGAGGTTTTGATTTGTTAAGGTTCATAATATTACATAAATGTTGAATATAGTGACTATAAAAATGTTCTTTAGGAAGCCATGAGATCTCTCCTTTAAGTATAAAGATCTTGGCACAGATGGCTCTCCTTCCCTTCTCTCTCTCAGAGGAAACTCCTATGAGTAAACATATTTGCTGATGGCAGCATTTCCCCTTAACATTTCCCTGGGTCAAAGCATGAACTAGTTTTGTCTCAGAATTTGCTACTGTGTATACACGGCTTGCTGAAGTCTGTGACTTAATGGCATATCAGGAGGAACTGGACTGCATCCTCTTCCTGTCTCTTCCAGAAAAAAGAAGTTTCTCCTTTTCTTTTTTTCCCTTTTCTTTTTTCCTTATTGTTGGATGACAGTTCGATGAAGAAAAATGTTACCTTGTTCAGGTTTTTAAACAATGGAAATTCTTCAAGTCAGATGAGAGTCTGGTGCTCAATATTTTCTACACTAATGTACACTGAGGGGATGTTTCTCAGCCATTCCTCAAAATACCTAGGACTGAATTTGGCATCTTGCAACCTGCAAAATGTATATTCCGGCACTGAGCTACTCCTGTACTCCTGTCTTTGGGACAAATGGGGCAAGATGCTTTCACTGGGAGTAAACTCAGCTCCTTCCCACTGCAGTCACAATAGTCAACTTGCTCCCACTTTCTCTTCAACTGCTTTCGACACAGCTGTTCAGAGGGAAAAGGCAAGATAAGTGAAGGAGGCTTCAGTCTCCTCTTTCTCATCTTTGGTCAAGGGAGGGCCAAAGGGCTCCAGGAATTAGCTAAAGGCCTGTGGTCGTACTGTGGGCTTCAGCAGATCAACAACAGTAAAGGCATTCCACTAATTAAATTACTTATGTACATTTTTGTAGTTTATTCATCATTGCAAAAGGTTGTGGTAATAAATGCTGATAGTTCTGAACTATGAGAGACAACATATGGTATTATTTTACTATATTTAATAACTATGGTCTCATTCTCAGTGCTAAAGCTGGATTGTGATTATCACACTTTTACATAATAGCAGCTATACAGTATTGCAGTTTCCAATTTTACACATTTGTCTGCTCATGTCAATATTTTATACCAGGGAATTCCTCACAGTGGAAATTCTGCATTATTTACATTGATATGATATCATCTATATAACATTACTATTGTAAGGAATATGCAAATAATACTCCAAATATTTTCAGGAAGAGACAAATATTCTCATTAATTTAATTGCACAGATTTCAAGGACAACCAAGAAGCCACAGATTAAAAGTGTAAAAATATAGTTTTAATCCCTTTTGTGAATAACTTTTTCTGTTCATGAAGGAAACCAGGTTCCAGGAAAACTAGAATTTTTTCTTATAAATAGGTTGTGAGGCAAATATTTAACATGATTCTCTCTTTTTCCAACAGCACCTTCTCTATGCTTTCTCCCATACTTTATATAACTCTGCAGCATGTCATTCTTTCCTCTTCTTGGCCATGTCATGTGGCCTTGAAAGCCAGATATCATTGTGAGGTTCTCACTTCCTCTCCCGTTACACTGTTGGCTGGGCTACCTTTTATCCCTCCGAGCTCAAGTTACCTTAACAACTGCAGAGCCAAGTCTGATTTCAGCAGTAACCTCTTCTACCAACCTGGGTCAGGAAAGGAGGAAGATTAAATGTTGACAGTCTTTGATGGAACACTTTCCTAGTTATCCTGGCAACTGGAACTATTTGGGTCAATGCCATTCACCAGTTGTGAGATCACTCCGTGCTGCCCTACAAGACAGCTGGATCTACTCTTGATTATTTGCACAATACGTTGTGGGATGGAAATTCCAAAGAGAATATGCATATGCAACTCTCTTCAGATTCCTCAGTGCGAGCCTGTGCTAAGTAATCACAAGTACAGTACTGGACATGAAACTGTTTCCACTTAATATTTTAATTAAATTAAATGTATAATATATCTCATAATCAGGAAAAACAGTTTGTCTCTCTCTCTCTCTCTTATTCTCTCTGCATTTGCCTATTTCTGGCATATCACATCTGCCTAGACAGATCCAGTCACCACTCATTACATCCCAATAAATCTGTTCCCAGCAGCTAGGGAATCAGATACCACCAAATTCCTTTTCAGGAAAATACCCCTAATTGACATATTGTAACTGTTATTTACCAGAACACTCCTTTCAAGAGGTAGCATGTATCGAGCAATTCTAAGACCTTTTGAACACCAGTCAAAATAATTCAGGGGAATAAAATCCTTTCTCCATATATCCTGAGTTGTTTCTCCTGAGTTGTTAAACTCTAACTCCTCCACATGAGGGCCCCTTCTCAATAATCAATGTATCATAACGGATATATTTCCTAAGCTATCTCTCTCCACTTTTAAGATTTCAGCACCTCACAAATACATCTAAGCTATATGTAGAAACATGACATCCCAGGTAGCAATTAACAATAGTGCAGAAAGAAACTAAGTGCAATTCTAATAGCAATTTATCATATAACAGCAGCTATCAGTAATACCAATAAAATGGGATGCAGTTTTTGTTTGTGTATTCTTATTTATTTATTTA